TGACAATCCATTTATAAAAAAACATGACAGAAGTGAAGATTTTTTGTTGGCAAGGTTGAAAACTCTGGGTACAGTCTTATCGTCTACTGTTTTAATTCTAGTGTTTTTCTCCCACAAATGCATGAGTAATTGGATATTGCAGGTCCGCACTTTGTCCCATAATAAAAAATGTACAAGACAAATAGAGTTAATCAGGAACAACCTTCTCTTCAAGATCCTTATTTTCTGAATACCAGGCCTGAGCTGTAAGTAGTTCAATCCATTGCTTGGCTAGTATCTGAGCCCAATACAAATTAATAGAGGGAAAAAAAATCATTAAATGAGACATAAAGTATATGAGCAGAAATGAAAAAAATTCGATTGAATATCACTCCAATGAAGTGCCGTGATAGAAAATATAACTTCACTGCTCAATGTTTAAGACACCAGAAAGGAAAAAAATAAATAAATAAATTTGCCAAACCAACAAGTTTAATTACTCCCTACCTTGCAAAATATTGATGTTTGAAATCAACTCAAAAAATGAACAAGATAATGAAAAAGGGGAAGACCTTTTTTCAATACAAATTGGAACAAGGAGATCTTCAATATCAAAACCCAAAAATATGTCAGCCTTCTGATAATTCAATTCTTCCACAATTTTTTAATGGTTAACAAGGTACACCAAGATGGTAACAAATAGCCTACTAACTAAGATTTTATTGATCCAGAAAAAAAAATGCGAATTCACAGAATTTCCAAGTTAGAAAGTAAATGAAGAATTTGTACGTACATAAGCTAATCTGACACGCTCACCATATTTCACATCAAAGCTCTAAAATAACTCACCCTGTCAATAGGTATCCCATTTGCCTCTTGTACTCTCAGGTCCAGATAAAAATTGCTTGTATCTGCAAGGATGCCCTTGACTTTAAGGCTCTCAGGAAAACTTCCCCGGTACCTGCCTGATATAATTAATGGGCTTTCAAATGAAAGGTCTGGAATTCGAGAAGGAAACACCTACATGAAGATCAAAATGACTCATTGTTATATATGTGAAGTATAAAAAATTCCGAAAACAATACTAACTGAATGTAGTCCCTACAAACACAAAAAGTATAAAAGTTAGACTGCAGCAAATGTTGTAACAGATTCCAAACAACAGCAAGGTCATGTCACACAACACATGCAACATGCTACCCCTAAAACTTCAGCATCTTTTGCAATTCATTTATGAAACATATATAGAGAGGTTAGGAATAAGATTGTCAACTATACTTTATACTGACAGAAGATAGTTTACTAGATTCACTAAAGTTTGTTAAGCGTCACCCATGAAGGAAGTGGATTTCCAAAATTTAATCTCGTTAAGTTTAATGTAAAGGAAACAGACGAAAAGTACCTCAAAGTCATCAAGGTTATCGAGACCCTCAAAGGAAATATTTGCTAGAAAGATAGAGGTGGCTGTAGCAAATAGTCGTCCAATTCGAACCTCTATTGAATCTGGCCAAAAGCAAAACAAATTAGAAGAGCGTCTTAGGTTGTCTCAATTAGTAAGGCATTTTCAGATGCAAATGGTGGATAGGTTACATTGCAAGAAATATCTACCACCATGAGAAAGAGGATCAGAAGCAGATGCTTCATACATTTCAAGAGACCACATACAGGGGAGTTCAGAAATGACAAAATTCTTACTAGATGGAAAAAACAATAATAAACGTTAATTGAATTAGAATCATAAAGGCAAAAATAACTACCAAAAAGACAAGACTAGATATCTGACTAAGCTCTTTGTACAATTTTTTACTAACATTTTCACAAGGCATGATAGGAATTCTAGAATTTGGACCCAGGTGGTTTTGTGAGGACTCTGCCATCGTATATGAACCCTCTAGATGATTAGATTTGTTTTAGTAGATCACATTGTTTTGCAAAAGAAGAAAGGCAAATTAGATATTTTGTAAACAAAGAATTTGGAGCAAATTGATCTTAAACTGAAACTCATGCCTTGTAAAGATACTGGAACTTCATTATTCAGGATTCATTATGTTAAGAGTTTTCACCTTAAGTTTCGTTATATTCATTAGGTTTAAGAATAGAAAGGACAGAGAATAAATTTTTAGTTATTTCGTCCATTGGCCTCAAGTTTGGATTCCGCAGGCAAGTCCTAAATATTCTAGGACTAGTCTAATTTTAGTAGGAAAATTGCAATCCATGCTAAAGTCCAAGGAAACTGCTCTATTGATGAAGTTGGTTTAAAAGTGAGGAGATCAGACAGTGAAAACAAGGGTGGAAAGGTGAGGAAAATCTGAGCTTAGTGAACACGACTGTGATTGCAACTACGAAAATGAGATTCCAAAACTGTGGCGTCGTAATTTGGGATGGGAAATGTATGGACTGTTGTATGGATTTCGACTGGGGAAGTTGGAATGTTAAGGGTATATGGTAGGATGTGTTATATTTGTTGATCAAAACTGTTACAGGTACATTGTGGGTTACATTATAGGTTACGCTCTTCATGTGGCAGAATGTATGGGCAAGCTAGACTGACGTGCTATGGTGTATCTTGATTGGACTAGCGTTGGGATACGTAATGTATGTCAGTTTGTATGTTTGCCCTTAGGCTATTAACTTGTGAATGGTCTGCGTAAAATAAATAATTAGGCTTGTATGTAATGATTAATTGTTGGGCTATATATGTGGGTTAGCACGATAACGACAGGGAATATTTTTTGAAGACCTAATTCAAAATGTTTTTGCTAGGAATAACCCCGGGAAATGCAATAAAACTCTGAAGTGCTCAAATAAATCAGGGCAAACTGCTTTCTGTAGGCTGAATTCTTCTTTATGCTTGTTATTGTTTAAAGCCTGTGGTTTTTGGGACAGAAGGCAGGTGGTTTTTGTACGAGTTTGGATGGTGGCTACAATAAATTCTTGAACTGGTGAACCAATCAAAACTTCACGAAATTTGTTTGATTAAAGAAAAACGACTTTCTTTGATACTAAATTGATGTAGAACATCCCTGAGGGGTAAGATGAGAATAAACTCCTAAAGACGACAATACGTATGATCGGATTGGGCACAAAAGCTTAGATCATTTTGAAAACATATTTTTTTTTTTTTTTGCAATGAGCCAAAACTGTTAACCCCGTACGTATTATCCATCCACTTTGAAAAAGCATTACCCCTTATGTACTTCTTTTGCGTGCCTTATGATTTGAACCTAAGACCTCAATTTTATGAGAGACTTAACTTGAACCCATGAGACCTAACAACTTGGGCCTCTGTGTCCAAACCATTAATTCATACATACCGTCCGCTTTTAGAGATCATCTACGCATCTTACCTCTTACGAAGAACAGTATGTTCTTAATGACTGAGGCATAGATGCACGGATCATTACACAATCAAACAAGAACGAGATTGTGAGACAAAAAAGAGGAGAGAAAGAATAAAGATAATTTAGAAGCAGAAGATATCATTGTATTCAATCATGAAGTCTAATAACTATTATGCATAAGCCCCTATTTATGGTTTAAACTACGCTCATTTAAGTAGGAAAATACTAAAAACTCTTACTAAATAAAACCCTAGTTATGTTCCTAAAATAAGTATTCAATTTGAAAAGTAAACTACTACATAAATACTATATTATCCCAAAAGTTTCTTTATACCCATTGATGAAAGCTAAGGGACCAAACTTTCCATAGTTGAAGGACCTACGGCGCACTTTTTGAATTTCAAATTTTGGTAAAAAAATGATCATTGAATTGCCATGTAAAATAGGTAAGGAAGAGATTATGGGATTGCCGTATTTAGATTATAAGCTTGTTTGGTAAAGATTAAAATCGGATTAAAATTGAAAAAACTAGCCGTTATTGTTGACATTTATTAGACGAGTGGGACTCGATAACGGCTATATTTTCAACTTTAATTGGATTAAATTCTCTCCCAAACAAGCTATATGGAAAGTAACTTAATTTCTATTTTAATTAGATGTGCATTTAGATAAATAGTTGGGTCCATGTAGTCATTTTGAATTCTTTTTAGTATTTTCTTGATGAATAAGTACGTCAATGTCAATCCCAAAGTAGTCATTTTCATTACTCTGAGCATAGTCAGTTTTTGAACTTGATCTTGTTTGAGAAGAACTTGATTTAGATTTTAATTTCTTTGAAATTAATTTTGCTAAAGAAGCAATTTTTTCTGAAATAATGGCTAATTCCTCTGGCGTCTTGCACTGAGAAAACATAACTAATAATCTTGATTTTTCTATAAAAAAATCAGCATGTTTTTCTTGTTCTTTCTTTGAAACTTTTGAAATACCCATATTTTTCTGCTTTTGAATCCATGAACAAACGGCTTTTGGGTAGCAATTTGTCTTTTGAAATTTGAACCATCATTTGACTTTGAGTCTCCGAATTATATGTTTAGTATTGAATTTGGAATTTGAATTTTGAACAAGATTGAAGTCCCAGCAGAAAATCTAGAGGTGTCCAAAAGTCCCGAACTGAACCGGATCGAACCGAACCCGAACTGAACCGAGCGGTTCTTCGTAAATTAAATACCCGAACGGATACCCGAATCGAGAACCGATGGGTTTGGGTCGGGTCTCGAGTCTAGACGAAGAACCGAAGAACCGAAACTAAAT